TTGCAGGCTGCAACCCTTCTCCAGCTTTGCCTTCCTTTGGAAGGAGGTCAGTGGAAGCGCATTGGGGGTTTGCAATAGCAGAGTCTATGTACCAATGCACAGGTTGTGACAGACATCCAGAGGCTGCTGTTCCACAGGCCAGATCTCCGGAAAGGCAGCCAGCAAGCCCTTTGTAGGAAAAAGGCAGGATATAAATCGAAAAATAAATAAAATAAATAAATAATAAACAGGGCTGATTTGCCGTTAGGACGGCCACCAGCTCATCAGCAAAACAGAATTGCATTGCCAAGCAAAAGAAGGAAGGAGGGGGAGGGGACTGATTTGCCTGACACCTGCGTAGGCTGTTTTATATGCATAGATGCAAATGTTACAATCGCATCTTATATAGAAATACAATGCACCTCCCTAAGGTGTGACCAGGTGAGCTTTGTGCCTCTCTGTCCAGCCTGCCAGACCATGTTCACTGTACATGGGCAACTTTGAGGCCCAGCTCTTCATTTGGAAGAGGAAGAAAAGTTAAAAATAGCCCCCATGAGAGGCAAACCAGCAAGGAGAAAGTGGTTCTTATGTTGAATGATGGCAGAAGGCTTTTGTGTAGCTCTCTTGCATTCTGGAATAAAAACTACTTAAGTTATAAGTATTTATCAAATCTGCCAATGAATAAAAGAACACCACCATGAAACCATAGCAAATGTGGATTCTTCATTGCCTTTAAATTTTTCTGAGGACTTGGTTGCTCATAGCTCTGAGTCAATGCATGCTGTCAGATCTCAGTTTGCGCAGCTCGCAATGACCAGCTTTGTACTGGCCAAATTCAGGAGGTACAGCTATTCCCAGCCTGGATGGGATGATGTAGTACTTGCCTATCAGCCAGGTGTTAAAGAGGAAGGGGCTACTAGAAGAAGAAAAGAGGTGGCCAACTTAATTCAGCACCAGAAACATGGCTGAACATGCTGAGATTCAAAGAGAGCTTTTTGAAAAGCAAAACAATCCAAGTCTTCAGCCCAGGTGGAGAAATCCACCCATTTCATCAGCTCTCACAGAGCCAGTGTGGTGTAGTGGTTAAGAGCATGGGACTGGGACTCAAGCGATCCGGGTTCGAGTCCCCGCTCAGCCATGGAACCAACTGGGTGACTTTGGGCCAGTCATAGACTCTCAGCCCAACCTACCTCACAGGGTTGTTGTTGTGGGGATAAGATTGAGGAGGAGAGATGATGTAAGCTGCCTTGAGCCCTTTGTAGGAAAAAGGCAGGATATAAATCACAATATAAATAAAAATAAATAAATGTTTAAAATTTCAAGTTCTTTTCATCTTTTTATGATGAAATCTGCAAAGTTATTATGCTTTTATTAACACAGGAAAGGAATACCTCTTCTCACCCACTGCAGGCTATTGCGCAAAATCACTCCTCTGTTTCATCTCTCCCTGATCCTAAACAGCGTATCTTGTGAATGCTAATCCTCAGGAAGAGCTTCTTGATTCTGAATTCTGAAAAGAAGTGGCACACTTCTCAGCAGCTCTGGTTTGCTGTGCAGCTCAGGTTTCCCAAAGCTTGCCTAAGGCCGCTATCAAAGGAGTCTGGCTGAACCTTTCCACTCAGAGGCAGAATGCCAGTCATCAGGGAGCAATTCCAGGAGAGAATTGTTACCTTCATGCTGTACTTCTAGGCTTCCCAAGGGCAGCCAATGCCCCCCCCCCCCCCGGAATCCAAGATGCTAGCCTCAAACAGACCATTGGTGCAATTATCCAGGGCTCTTCTTGAGGGGAAAAGACCTGCTGGAAAACCAGTTGTTAAAATCAGGTCTCAAAATACCTATGAAAGAGCTCAGCTTTTGCCTGGCACCCGCATGAAAGTAGTGACGGCACCTGGCAGACTTCTCTAGGAAGCCCATTCCAAAGGTGGGGGCAGCCACTGAGAAGGCCCTGCTTCTAATTACCACACCTTTCATTTCCTTTAGGGACAGATCCTTCAGGAGGAGCTCATGTCCAGATCTTAATGGGTGGGTAGATATATATGCAGCCTTCCAGAACCTGGTGCCCTCTGGCTGCATCAGACTTTAGCTTCCGTCAGCCCAGCCAGCAGGGCCCATGCACAGGAATGCTGGGAGTCATCATGCAAAACATCTGGCAATTGGGGAAGGCTGTTTTACGTAACTTAGATGCAGCTGAACGGTGCACTCAAAAAATAAACGAATAGTTGGCAAAACAGGACTCTTTCTCACTCACTCACTCACTCTTTCCTTCTGCCCTTTCCTTATCACATTGCATGCTCAGTGCTGAAAAGGACCCTCTTTCCTAGCAGTATGTTTATGAACGGATCTTTTCCTGTGTTTTGGCGGCTGCCAAGGAGTCATAATCCTGATCCAAGCTGGAAGTCCGGCGGTAGGCTTCGCTTGCTGCTCCTTGGCTTTGCTTCACCTGGAAACTATTCCACACACATGGCCTCCCCGACCGCTTCATGTGCCGGTTGCACACATGACAAAGGGAATAAATAATACTGCGGGAACGGAGCGCTCTGCTCCAAGCTGAGAAGTCTGGCTCACGTTTTCTTTCCCTTGTCTTAAGTCCCTTTGCCTGCTCGAGTGGAGAGTCTCAAGAGACACTCCAAGGCAACAGGGTTTAACAACCGGAATTCAACATAAATTGTCTTTGTTGGCTGGACCTTGAGGGCTAGAATGATACACAGGCAGGGCAAAATGCCAAACCATAAAAGTGGGAAGGGGAGTGAGGTCCGCTGGGCTTTTCAGCTGTATATAAGTTTGGTTAAAACCAGACATTCAGTAATGGAAATTTACATTGTGACAGTGTGTCAGAATTATCAGGCAGGATTTTGGGGGGAGGGGGAGATCTCTTTGTGGTGAGCAGGGTCTCAAAGTTGGTGGACGGCACCCCACAGGCCCCAGCTGGCAGCCTTTTGCCCATACCTCAGTTTGGCACAGCCTTTTCCACAGAAATCTTTCCAGCGGGGACCTCTCTTTCCTCTAGTCCGAAGCGCTGGGCATTGCCCCCAGCTGCTGCTTGGCTGCTGCTCCAGCCAAGCTGGGGTCCAGCGAGTCTTTCCCTGAGCCGCAAGATCTACCCATCAGGTGCAAGGTGGAAGCAGAAACGGAGTGGAGAGCTGCAGATCAGGAAAGGTGTGTGAAGGTGGGCATTTTCAAGAGACCTGCAGCGCAGCAGTTCCAGGTGGGGCAGGCACTGTCCTCTTTTCAGGTGGCTGGGCTAGCCTGACAGGGAATGGATTCCCCAAATTGCTTTGTAAGAGGAGGGACCAGAGCCCTAAGAGGACAGGTATGACAGACACAGGTACGCAATGCCTCCCCTTCTTTGTGGAGCAGCCGTGGCCCATCTCCACAGGAACAAGGACTAGACAAGGCAACCCAGGCCCAAACGTTTAACATTGAAATGCCATGTTACTCGGAAGGAAGTCCCACTGAATTCAGGGGCACCTCTTCCTTGAAGGTCTTGCTGCTGTTTTTAATGATGTCATATTTCTGCCATCTTTATTTATATATTTCTTCCATCAAATATGTCTGAGGGGAAGTGAGAAAGGCTCAGGTCAATACACATCAGCTGCACTTGGGCCCAGTGCCCTTTACTTTTCAGTGGCTCAGCAGACACCATTTTAGATTTCCCATAATGCCCCCAGCGTAACATCCCTCTGAAGCATTGTGGGAAATGTAATTGCTCTCCAAGGGGAGGAGTACTGCCACTGGATAAACTGAGCAGAGAGAAAGACAGTGTGGTGCAGTTGAGACTGTGGGGTTGGGACTTAGGAGATCTGGTTTCTCGTCCCTGCCTAGCCATGGAGCCAAGTGGGTGACTTGGACCAGTCAGACTCTCAGCCTAGCCTACCTCGCAGGGTTGTTGTTGTGGGGATAAGCCTGAGAGCAGGAGGAAGGGAATAATGGGAGCTGCTTTGAATTCATTGTAAAAAAAAGTGAGATATAAATCTAATAAATAAAGCATAAACAAACAGGGAGACCAAGCAGAAGAGCCACTACAAGGCATGGATGTGAGGTGCTTCTTCAGCCGTGATGTATGGGGTGTCTTATTTATTTATTCTTGTTCATTTTGCCAACACAAAATAAAGCAAACCAAACAGAAACAAGAAAAAAATGACATCAGTACTGTCTGATATGTACCATATTTTTCACTCTGTAAGACGCACCTGACCATAAGACGCACCTAGTTTTTAGAGGAGGGATCCATGGAAAGCTTCCTGATAATCACAGGCACATTCCCCATCACTTCCCCATGGGCTTCATTAAAAGACGGGTTGCCATTTGAAAACACGCACCAACCTGTGATTAACAGCTCTCACCTGCGCCGGAGGAGCAGGGTGCGCCGAGCGCGTACCGGTCAGGTGTGCTGCAGCCGGGCCGGCAGCGTGCCGGCTGTGGTCTTCCGGGTGGCGTGGCGGTGGCGGCAGGTCTTCCCAGACGGTGGGGGTGAGCAGTCCGTCTCTCCATGCAGCCGGCGGGTTAAAGGGGAAGACCAGCTCCTCCTCCTCCGCACGCCTCCCCCTGAGCGGCACAGCTCCCACCTGCACCGGGGGGGGGGGCGGAGCAGGGCGTGCTGAGCACGTGCCGGCCAGGTGGTGCCACGTGGTGCAGGCGGCCGGCAGTGTCCCGGGCGTTGGGCACACACACATTCGCTCTATAAGACGCACAGACATTTCCCCTTACTTTTGAGGGGGAAAAAAGTGCATCTTATAGAGCGAAAAATACGGTAGATATCTGAAGAGCAGCATAAACCAGACGTATCGATTATGTGGGACCATATCACAAACTGGTCTGTGGCGCGTCACCCGCAATGCTAACCCCGTCCTCACTCAACACTGCCATCCTCGGGCGTGGGAGACGTGCCTCTGAGCCAGCTTTCCCCCCAGTGAGGGGGAAAGCAACCGTTCTGTGTTCTCACACGTGTCCTTTCCATGTTGAATGTCTTTTCCTCCCAGCAGACCTGCCTAGCTGCCTCCCGGCTTCTGAGGGGGACCAAAATGGAAAGGGTCCTGGAGCTCAGCCTGAACCACTGCATGGCCGCCTTGTTCCTGTTGGCGCAGCTGGCCCTCTTGGCCCGGGCGCAGTACGAGCAGTGGCCCCACAGACCCGCGCACCAGCCCCAGCAGGACCCAGCCCCAGCTCACACCCCCAAGATCCAGCTGCGCTTGGTGGGGCAGAAGCGGAAGCACAACGAAGGGCGGTTGGAGGTCTTCTACCAGTCCGAGTGGGGCACCGTCTGTGATGACGATTTCTCCCTCTACTCCGCCCACGTGGCCTGTCGGGAGATGGGCTACGAAGAGGCCGTATCCTGGTTTCCTGGTTCCAAATACGGCAAAGGAGAAGGTAGATGATTCCCCACTCATGCGAAGTGAAGGATATTTCTGCCCTCTCTTTGGCCTTCTGCTAGCAAGTGGTCATCAAAAGCAGACCACCATGTCCAGAGTGGGATCTGGCCCATCGCACTTTATCCCACAGGGTGGATAAAGGCTTGCTTAAAAACCCTTTGTGCAGAATACCATTACCAATTCTATTGGAGAAAAAACAAACTGTGAAATAATTGCCATACTAGGAGTGTGAGCCTATTGATTTCAAAAAGACTTACTCCCAGATGAGTGTGTAGAAACAGGGTGAAGAAGCTGAAGCTGATGGACCAAATCTGTGGGGTTCCTCAGCTCTACTCCAAATGGCTTTATCTGTTTCCACAACCTGGGATCTTTATGTGGTTTGCTGACTTTTTTCCTGTTAAAAAGGTGGAAATGTCTTTAGTTTACTAGCAGTAGGGGCTCAAATTTTGGTCTTTCCCCTTTTGCCTCTGGCAAAAATCTGCACGTATTTCTTTAGGATTGCAGAAGGCAGGAGGAGGCTGTTGCCAACTTAGATAAAAACAGGATAAAAATAGCAGCTGTGTAGAAAGTCAGAAGTAAAATAATAGAGGAAAACAGCAGGAAACTCTCAGTGCACCAAAACAAGACAAAGGGGTTCCTAAATGCCAGGCAAATAAAAAGGTCATTGCCAAGAGCCCCAGAGATTTTAATGGAGATGCCAAGTGAACCTTCCTGGGGAGAATATTCCATAGATGAGGAGCCACCACCAAAAAGACCCTCTTGCTTGTAGCCACCAAGCTTGCCTATTGGGCAGAGGCGCTTGGAAGAGGTCCTCACATGATCGTAAGCTTGGGTGCTTGTAAGGGGTGGCAGAGTTTGAGGATGGCTTCCAGTCTCTTATTTCCTTCTCTTTCAATATTCTTCCTCCACAGGCAAAATCTGGCTGGACAATGTCCACTGTACAGGCAGAGAAGCAACCCTGGCCGCCTGTGGCTCAAATGGGTGGGGTGTGTCGGACTGCAAGCACACCGAGGACGTGGGCGTGATCTGCAGCGAGCAGCGCATCCCTGGCTTCAAACTGGACGACTCTCTGCCCAACCAAATTGAGGTGAGCAAGGCTCAGAACTAAAGGGGCTCAGCCCCGGAAACTTCCGCAGCTCTGCTTAGGCCTGTGAGGACAAGTTGTTTCCAATTCTTTCCTCTGCAAATGCAGGCAGGGCACCTGCTGTTCCCTCTCCATTTCAAGGAACGCTCAAAGGGAACAATCCGATCCCAGCTGAGGCAGGATGCGAAAGCAGGTGGTGTTGGCCGCGTGGGGCTCTGCAGGCCTAGCCCCGTGCCAAAGCCCTGCTGGAGATGGTGCTCATGGGCTGGGGGAACACCAAAGTCACGTCTTTGCTTTCGACGTGCTGAAAGCCGGCTTGAGGGATGGATCCTGCAGCAGGCAGGAGATAAGCAATTGCAGGCTGCCCAGAGAACCTTTGGGTTATTGGGCAGTAGAGGAGTAAAATGAAATAAAGATTGGCTGCGTTGATCGGGCAAAGGAGGCAGAAGGTGAGGTTTCTTTTACTCTGTCCTAAGCCAGGGAAATTCAGAAGTAATGTCCTTTGAGGAATATATTATCACATCACTCTGGTGATTTTCGAGAGCCACGGTGATGCAGTGGTGAAGGGCTGGACAGGAAGACCTGAGAAGTACGGATTCACTCAGCCACTGCGTGGCTTTGAGCAGACCCTCCTTCTTAGCCTGACCTACCTCACAGGGTTGCTGTTCTGAGGCTCTAATGTAGCGCAGGAGGACTATGTGCCTTGCAAGAGGAGAGAAAGCATGATATAAGTGCAATGTAATAATAGTGTGTGGATAAAGATGGGGGAGAGCTTTTTGCTGTGGCACACACTGTTTTTCCAAACCCCCCACTTTTGCATGTTTACCTGGTTCAGATTTCAGTGAAGATTTCATTCCCCCCATAGAAATGTGCTAGGGGGTATTTTTCTGCTTTTGTCTGAAGAGGCCTGCCTTGTTGATGCATCTAAATGCTAATGTGATGCCCTCTTAACAGCGGATGCTGTTTTAGCTTGAAATAGCCCTCTGAGTAATGCAGAGGCGGGCTGGGCTTCATGATTGCTGGAAGGGCTAACCAATTAGGGGCGCAGGCTCTGGCCAGGAAGATGGGAGGGAATTGCCGTGTGCCGGGCAGGCTCCAGGTGTCTGAGCCTCCTGGGCAAATCGCACTCAGTGGATCTCCATCACCAGGGGCTGCCTCTCTTCCTCCTCCCTTTTTTCACCCCTTGCCTGCTTATCAGGAAGGCAACCAGGGGGCACGCGGGCAGCGCATGTCCTGCTCCCCTTTGCACCACCCCTGCTGTCCAGGCCGGAGCCAGAGCCAGGTGAACAAGCAGGCCGTGGCGATAAGGCCACAAGCCACTCTGTTCCTGGGCCCCTGCTGATCCGTGGACCCCCAGCAGGGGCCCAAGCATGCCTGGCTTCGGAGCTGGCCCTCGTGCAAAAGCAAAAGCCAGCGGGTGATGGCCCCGCACGGACGGCTTCTCCCGGAAGGAGGAAGAGCCAGTCCAAGGTTTGACTCCCTTTCGAGACAAGCGTGTTTCTCCCAGAAGCATGGGTCCCCACCATGTGAGATGTGTACTACGTGGGCCTCTACGTCCCGTTTCCCCACATGCTGCTTCTGGGCTGCTGCCTTCGGGAACACCAAGTAAGGCTGGCTGCGTCAAGCTGGCCCTGGAATGAGTCGGAGGCTTTTTACTCCGGCAGCCACATGCTCCCGGGGTGACTCTGTGCGAAGGGGAAGACTTTGGCAGCCCACGCACTTCCCCAGGGCCACAGCTGAATTCTCACAGCAGAGGCGGGGGTGGGGGGATACAGAGTGGTCTAGACAGAGGCCAGCCTTCTCTGGGATGCTTCAGGTATTAATCATGCAAGCCAGGCCCTCTGCTTTCCCATTTCCTAAGGATCAAAGTGCAGGGGGTTAATTCAAGGCCATTACTTTCTGGCCTGATGAGTCAGTGGCTTACACTGACTTAACTCTTTCCAAGAGATTGCACAACCTAAGAGCTTTGCAGAAAGGCAAAGCATGAAAACGGTCACGGAGGAGCAAGGAACATGGATCCTTGTTCTCTTAGGAAACTTATTTGCTTCTGGCTGGTCTGTACCAGTGTTTTTGCAACCCGTGTTTGTGGGTTAGCCTGGAAACAGGTGGGACCTCCTGCAGCCCCATTCATCCTGTCTTGTGCTCAGTTTGACTCTTATTTCAGACCTTTTGGAAACATCAATACAAGCTTAAACTAGCACTGTACAATAGCATAGCAAATGTTCATTCCCAAACCTCTCCTTGCTAGGTAACATCTGGAGGTACAGAGGAATCTGCATGGGGGAACTGTGAAGTCAGGTGGGATTGTTTTCACCTTGCTTCTGCCTGCACTTGATTCCAGCTGAATTTAATTCTGGCCTCGAAATCTGGCTTGGGCTGGGGAAACTGGGAGATGAGCAAAACCCAGTCGAGGAAAGGATTCATTTGTCTCTTGAAGGGTTTTCTAAGTCCCCTTATCAGCTTTCAGACATAATGCAGTGGGTTGAACTCACAACAGGATGATACAATGAAAGCAGAGTGGAAATAACAGGAACAGCAAATCATATGATATTTGGAAAACTAGCAAATGCAATCTGTCCTGAGTTTCTTTGGACATCTGATGGACATCATATCCACAGAAGCTTTTGCTATACTCAGTTGCTTAACCTTTGAGGTTCCGCACAATACTTGGTTGTTTTGCAGCACAATCCTGCAGCTGTCCCTCTGGAAAGGAAGATTTAGCATGCCCTGTAATGCATACATCAGCCCAGCTAAAACGAAAGCAAATGATCAACACACCAAAAAACAAAAGAAACTGTGTAAAAGTCAGCAGCGTCCAAAAGCAGCCAGGAGCAAGTGAGACGGCAGGGCTCTGCCGAAAGCCATCACGGGGAGACCAGCAGCACCTCCCTTGAGGTGGAACTTCGGAAGCGAGGGGCCAGCTGTGCAAGGACCCCGCATAACTGGTCTCCGTGGCGAGCGGTGTGGTCCAATAGGGGTCATTCCTAGCCTGCTCCTGTTTGTACGTCCAATTAAAAGTATGCACAGCCTGTGCTGTGCTGGACTACAGCTCTCATCGCCCCACGTGCTGGCAGCCCAGCTCTGCCCTAAGTTGCAGCAAATGCCTCTGCGGAGCCCAGACACGCCTGTGTCGCGTGCTCTTTGGGAGGCGTGGATGGGCCGTGCTCAGCTGGCCTGGTCTGGCTTGAACACACTCCAGGCAGTGGGTTCCTCGCGCATGTATTTAGATAGCACTCTCTTCCATGAGCGTCAACTTTTATGGGGAAGACCACTCCATGAAAGGACTCAATATATAGTCCCAGGCCACCGAGCAATCAGAGAACTTTTGGTTGATGCGCATTTCCTGCACCTTTGGCCCACAGCTCCCATCAGCCCTTGCCAGCATAGCCAATAGTGAGGGATCATGGGGGCTGTAGGTCAAAGCATCTGGAGGACCACAAGGTGCCCACAGTTCTGGCCTTCTCCCACTGCAAAGAAGCACTGATTGTAGTGCTCTTCTGGAGACCCTCTAGCTGTTTTGCAGCCAAGCTGGCAGACCTTTGCAATCCTTTTTCCTAATTCTGTATGTGCAGCCAGGGGCAAGACTGTCTGCAAGAGCCAACTGCATTTACCGGTTGCCTCCACCCTCCATAGTATCAAATGAGACACTGTCTAAGCGTTTAGATGAAGCGTCCTTTTATTTCCCTGGTAGAGGTATGTTTCCCCCTTCAGAACTCACTGAAATGCCACCTCAGTTCCACAGCAGAACTAATGCAAACATTTTTCCTGCCCACCACAGAAAACTGGAGAATGGTCAGCATTTGCTCCTCCAAAGAGAAGAAGCAGCCAGTTAATTCTTGCTGGGCAGAATGGCAGGACTGCAGCTGGGCTGAAATGGGGCACGTGGGCACGGCCGTTTCTGTGACTCGTTCCTGAGCTTGCGTGTCGCGTATCCCCACACATTTTTGGGGTTTGTACCAGGGCTGCCTAGATGTGGCCAGTGATGGAACTCGGGGTCCCGTTTTCTCTGCATCCTGTTCGCAGCCTTAAATAGCTGCTGGAGTGGAGGGGAACGGTCCAAGACCCATTCCCCCTTGGAGGCTGCTGTTTGCTCTGCAAAGAGAAAGTGCCTACATGGGGGGCAGGATACTGGTGCTGGGGGAAACAGGAAACATCCCCACCCGGCCCAGTCTGCACATGGCTGCAGATGCCTCTTTGAAAATGGATCTCACTGATTTGTCTGGCTTTGCCCTTTTAATGCTGCTTTCCTGAAATTCACCTTCGAGTTGCACATCTGTAGTAACATGAGGATGTGTGGGTCTCCCAGTCACCCCCCTTCCGCCTCGGGTAAGGCCTGTACTATGTTTCTGTTTAAATTGCAGTTTTTATGTCAAAATGTGGATCTCTGTGCCTAAGTTCGCATATGCAGCTTTTACCTAAACCGTAGCATATGGGCATTTTAGCTAGTCTTCCAAGGCAGGTGTTCCTTAGCTATGTTGGACTACAGTCCCCAGCATCCACCAGCCAGCATGGAGGGTACCAGAGTGGGGAAGCCTGTGCCGTTCCTTTGCAGAGGGGAAGGTTGATGCTTGAGTGACCATAGGGCTCAGTAATGGGGCAGCTATGGGTCCGAAAGCACTCCGAGCAGGCAGAAATGGCTGCGGCTTTGCTCGGCAGTCCCCATGCTTCTTATTTCTATTTTTTTCAAGGATGGCCACTTCTTTCTGCTGCTCCTGTCACCTCTACATGCTGGGTAACAGAAGAGCATGAGGAGCTCCTCCTGGGCCATACAGCCTAGTATTGTCAACACTGACTGGCAGCAACTCTCCCGGGTTTTAGGCAGCCATTTTTCCTGCCCTACCTTGAAATGCCAGAAATGGGGCCTTCCACCCTCTGTGTGCAAAGCATGTGCCCCATAATTCCATTACAGCCCCTTCGGAGAGGAAGGAAAGCACCTGACGTCAGGAAGAGGGGAACTAATCAGCCATCAATCGGATGTTGTTGCATGGAAATGCTCAGCTAAA